TAAATAAGGATGGTCCAAAGTCAACTTATTTCCCAGCACGACCCAAATCTGAATCTAAAATCTGATTTGGATTGGGAAAAAAACCCGAACCGGATTCGCGGCCGGAAACCCACTTTGCCTACGCAAAAGAAAACCCCCACCTGTCGCCATTCCCCGTTTTCTCCCCCCTGCAATCCTGAGCAAATCTCCCTCTCATTCTCCGGCGTCGGGCGCTTCCAATGGACGAAGTGATCACGGCCGCTGATGCATCGGCAAGCTTTCGATCGGTTTCATCTCAGCCGTCTATTATCCCGGATAACGTCCCCCTCATCTCTGCCTTCTTCTCCTTCGCTTTCGCTCAGTTCCTCAAGCTCTTCACCACCTGGTAATCTCCCTTCTCCCTCATTCTTTCCTCTTCTTCTTTCTGTTGGCTTGCTTAGAAAACGCGTTACAACTCTCAATTCGTTGATCTTATAGTTAGTTATTCAGTACTGTTTGGGTCTGGAGCTGTAAGCTGCCGAAGGGGAAACATGATATAAGTTTTTAATTTGTGCGTCTTTTCTTTTTAACTTTGTTATAGAATTAAACTGGAAGTTTCATATTGTACGGGATGCTTGAAGGGGTTGGGGTTTAAACTATGCAGTTTTAAAGCTCAGACATGGATGCCAATGGTTGCTGAACATGCATGTTTTGGGCACTTCAATGTTAGCTTACACAAGATCAATATATAAATGAGTAGGCAAAGACAAGATTTTGCAGCTTGAACGTTTACCAATGGAGGTGCTGGTCGGGGAGCTTTAGGAAAATTACCGTACTTGCTCTTGCCTTTAGGCATTTCTTTTTGGACCATTACCAAAAGTTGAAATGCGAGATCATTTGCCATTGAAATGCCATGTTAATCTTGCCTCTTGCTGGTAAATTTTAGGATACAATTGGCTAATGGTAGACTGTTGTAAATGCCATGTTATTCGTTTCGTGCTGCTAAAGTTTAGGATAGAATTGACCAACGGTTGAGTCTTATTGCTTTGACTTCAATTTTCTTTTCCTCGTTTCTGAAAGAAAGAGTTCTCCACCTATTTTAGTTTACCAGAGTTATAGCTGTATATAACATGTAATGCGCATTGGGTTATGCAATAATGTTGTGAACCGCGAGTAGAGAATGCATTTGCAAGAATGGTGTTAACTGTGAGTAGAGAATGCTTTGTGAGTAGAGAATGCTTGGGTAATCTTTCGTCCTCTGGTATTTATAAATTGCTGTGAGTAGAGAATATTCATTGGTTGAGATTTGAGAATCACCATGATGGCTATGCAAAGTAGGGTTGTTCAGATGTTCAGTGTTAGTTTTTTTTTTTTTTTTGTTTTCTCTCAGACTGA